TAGGGTTTAGGGTTTTTGGGGTTCTTCCTGCCCTCGAACTGTACCTCTTGGTTTTATGCGCAGTTTTGTTCAGATGCGCTGCAAAGGTTGGAGGTGCTCTTTCTGGCTTTGTAACTTCGTGGCGCATGGCTTGGGGGCTTCATTTTGGAAGGTAATGGGCCAGGGTATTTGCCAGCAGTCTTGTGGCTTTTCTGGTCATGTTCAGCAGCCTTACGCACCTTCCGAGTTCTATTCACCTTGCTTCTCGTGTCGTGCTCATCAACTGCTGCACAAGGCCATGCATTTCTTTCTGCTCTTTGCTCTCAGGCGGCGGACGTACCCTTGTTGGTTCTGTGAGCTCACCGAGCACTGGGGCAGCAACCCGGGCAGTAGCAGTTGCCCAAGTTTCAAGGCCATTTCGCCGTCAAAGAACATGTAGGATTGAACACCCGAAGCTGAATTTTGCAGCCAAACCCTAAACTGAAAACCCTAAGCTTAAGCCTCTAAACACTAAATCCTACTGTACCCAAGCGACAGCGAAGCTGAGCCAGAACACGGCCTCGAAGCCACAGCTGGGCATCTGCCGGAGAAAAAGAGAAGGTCCGGTGAGAAGCGCTTCAAAGCAAGATCTGAGCCTGTATCCCATGGAAGACTTTGCAAACCCTGAGCCCCAAAGCCCTCGGGGGGCATGCAGCCAAACGCCACGCATCCGCTGCTTTTCCTGCGGTCCACAAGAAACAAAACCTGCTCTGAAGCTGTGCTTGCGCTGTAGGACTTGGGTCCAGAAATCCCGTAAACCCTAAACCCCAAGCNNTAGGGCTTAGGGCTTAGGGTTTACTGGATTTCTGGACCCTTAGTGGTGGAAGCGCAGGGCAGTTCAATATCGACTGCAGGCCAACTTCGGAGGCTCTTGGATCACAGGGTTGCTGAATACAGTCGATGCCCGACCTGCACCCCGAAACATCAAGAATTACAGGGTTTTGGGGATATTATAATTACTACAATTATAATGAGGAACCCCCCACAAGCCTATTCTAGTTCCTGAAACCTAGACGAAAGACCTGAAACCACCCGAATCCAAAAATTTGAGCCATCAGCCAAATTCCCTTAGCATCAGATTCTGATAGTAAAGGGGCCTTAATATTTTGGGGGTTCCTTATTATAATTACAGTATAGTATGCCCCAAAGCCCTATTCTAATTATTAAGGCCCCTACGTTAGTTGTCTTTCGGTGCGAGCAGCAGATGGCGACACGGTCACCTCAGGCAACGTCGTATTGAGGGGCGTGAAAAAGATAAGCAGACCCGCCTATAGTGCCACAAAGAATTCATTCTATGAGACGACAAGATGGGCAGACTGCAGGCATGGAGCTTTCATAACGGTTCCGGGTTCAGGGCTTAAGACGCTCTCGAATCTTTCGGTTGAAGGTATGCGGGCTTCTTAGGGTTTAAGTTCCGGGTGCAACCCTAAACTCCCTCAGCCCTAAATATCCCTAAACGCTAAACCGAGGGTTCCAAGTTCTTTCTCTGTTTTACCATTCTTCTCCTATGCCCTACGGCGCTGAATTGGCGCTGGGTGGGTTTACCACGCAACATGCTTGCTCCCACGCTGGAAAGGGTTTGGTGTTCAAACGTGCATGGCCGTTGCGAGTATCACAGAAATGGTGCCACACCCTCATTCCCTGACCACACGACCTCACAGGGAGATGTGAGCCGCCTTGCGCACTACACCACCAAGTTTTGCCGGAAGCATCCTGACAACTTGAACGACTCCTCACTGCTTTGACTTTACATCTACTCAAGCTCGGAGACGCAGTGACAAGAGAACAGTTACAGACGCAATGCTGGCAGTGATGGCACGCTAGCAGCTAGCAATGCTTGCTGAGAAAGGCAGCCATGGCAACGGCAAAAGAGCAAAGACTACTTCCTGAAGCATCCTCAACTCTTGTCCTTGAAAGGAACCCTTGAAGGGACCCTTAGCCAGATGTACAGCGTTCGAGGTCCCGGGCTGGAGCTGCACCCACTCCGAGGCATGGCCAGGAGCTTCTTTGAACTCCGGCTTCCGTTGACATATGGGTAGTTCTCTAAATTCAGGATCCCTGTTAGGATCGTTTTGAAAAGGGTGCTGTATATTGGGACACAAACAGGGGCCCTTATTTAGAAAACTACCCATGTCTTGTTTCTAGCAAACATCGAGCATGTTTAGAATCAACTCCCGGCTATGCTCTCGAAGCTTCAACGAGCTGCCCTAAACATTGGCTTGAGATGTTAGTGCCGAGGCCCCAAGCCTAAATTCGCCATGCCATGTAGGGTGCTACAGCTCAACGTCTAATCTGGAAAGGTTTAAAGGTTTTGCGTTTGGGGTTGAGGGTTTGTAGGGCTCAGGGCGGATGAGGGCCTGCAGCGGTTATCAAAGAATCGATTTCTACTAATACTAGAGTCTGTTGCTGCGCCTTCTGGATCTTAGGATGTAGGATTTTGGGAGGTTCAGACAGAATCTGCAGAAGCTTCCTACAAAGCAGGGCCACCTGGCCGCTTGCTGCCACATTCAGATCGAGCCAATTTATGTACAGGCCAGCTTCAGCACGAATGCTAGATGGCCACATGCTAGCGGAACGAAATTCCATGGTCCCTTTGCAGGACCCCGTCAGCAGCAGCAGCAGCAGGAGCAGCAGCAGCAGCAGCAGCAGCAGCAGCAGCAGCAGCAGCAGCAGCAAATCGGAAGCATGGTCGCTACGATAGTTGAAGAAGCTTGCAGTGGGATGGGCATATCAAGCCTCTCCAGATGCGTCATCTACTGCCAGGAATGCAAAATAGGAGCCTAGGCGAATAGGTGTCATCGTGTCATCGCTGAAATCTCACGAGTTTGAGCCGAGGCGCTGACGTGGTGTTCACACTCGCACATGCAAACTTAGCCTCACCTACTCCGAACCCAAGCTTTCAAGTGCACCCCGGTGTTGAGGGCTTAGGATCCCCATTGCATGAGTTCTCTTCATGCGCCTCTCTTGGTTTCCGAGCCTCGGAGTGTCATGGCGTACGCTTGCGCTGGCCATTGTGCCGGCATCTTGCCTTGGACTGGAGGTGCAGTATGTAAATTGAAGTACTATGGGGGCCTAAATAAGTACCTATACTATTTTTGGGGCTCCTTATTATAGTTATAGTAGAATGGGCCCCAAAACCCTATTCTAATTATTAAGGCCCCTACATTACAGGGCCCGGCCCCGCTTCCACTCTTGTGGGGCACGTGGCTCCCACGCAAGTCTCAGGGTCGAGCGGGGCATGGCTCCTCTGCTTCTCTGTATCGTACTGCAGGGCCTCATGAAGCAGCTCAGGGTTTTAGGGTTTAGGGTTTAAGGTTTAGGGTCATGAAGCAGCTCAGGGTTTTCCCAGGGCTCTGAAACGGAAGTTCCGCCGACAAGCACTCCAGACATCACCCCGAGGCCGAGCATCCCAAGGCTGAAGCTCCAAAAGTCCCTCGGTCTCCTTGCGGCAGAGCCAAGGATTGTCCCTGATCGTGCTGGTTGCGATCATCTGGGTGGCTGCTTCACAGCTCATCGATGCTTGCCTTTCAAAACGACAATGGGAACTCAAAAGCTCAGAAGCTCCCCCATACCAATTACAGGTGCCTTAATATTTAGAATGGGGTTTTCGGGTAGAAGGAACCCCCAAAATAGTATAGGTCATTATCAAGGCCCCTATACATAGTATACCGGCCAGAACCACTCAGCGCCACCCGCTCCCGGCCTTCCCACATCCGACTCAACCCGACTCAGCCCCCCAGCGGCAGGACCACAAAGGACCTCAACTCCCCCAAACCCTGAAGCCCTCACCCACCGGAGCTTTCAAGGGAACCTGAAGCCTATGAGCCCGAGGAGACGATCTTCAAGGACCAGTCCTTCGACCATCCCTACTTCCTGACCTACTTCAACACCTGTGGCACCTCGGTTTCTGGGGCTCCTTAAGGCTCAAGCCTTAAGGGTTCTGGGATTCTAGAAGGTTTCTACCAGGGCTTCACAAGCTTCATGTACGGGTTCTGCAAAGTTCAACACCTGTGCCACCTCGGTGTGATCGAGGTTTCTGTAAGGATTCCAGAGAGGGTCTATTGGGGTTCTATCAGGGTTTAGGCTGCAGCATCTCGGTTTGGAGTTCTTTAAGAGTTCTGCAAAGGGTTCAAAAACGAGCCGAACAAGGTTCACAGGTTTAGGTTTCGGGTTTCATGGCGATTCAAGGTGTTATCGATAAGCCCCGAGACCCTAGACCCATGCACTAGCCCCATAAACTTATCAACTCACACGCCCTACAAGCCCTAAGTCTTGTAACCCAAGAAAACACTACAGACCCTAAACTACAAGCCCTAAACCCTATCAGCGTGTGGTGGCGACTAGGTGAACGACTACACGATCATGCAGCAGATGTACCACACTTGCTTCACCGTGTAAGCCTGTAAGGCTGTGCTTCTTGGAAAATGGGCGACATTACACTTTAAAACAACCCTATCAGCCCGACACTCCCTATGAGCCCTAAGCTTGAAGCAGGAAGCCCAGGAAGCCCTAAACCCTATACACCTGTCCATGGCTTTGTCCTAACCTTGAAGCCTACATCCCTTATACTCCCGACACTCCCAAAACCCTCTTCGTGTGTGTATTAGCCCTAAACTCGAAGGTTTTTCCTTCTGGCTGTTGGCCTCCACCTGCCGCCGGCGCCGGCGCCGGGGACTCAGAGGTCCGCATTTTCGCGGTTCAGGCGCCGGGTGATATGCATGTGTATATCACATATATATATATATACACATGTATGTACAATGTGTGTACATATGTATATATATATATATAGTTATTTATGAACGTCTGTAAATATGTAGGGGCCTTAATAATTAGAATGGGGTTTTGGGGGTTCCTTTTTATGGTCATAGTCTGATATACTTATAATTATCGTGTAATATACCCCGGCCCCAAGTCCTATTCTAACTGTTAAGGCCCCTACAAAAACTGCAACATGCAAGCCGAACACGAGACCATCAGAGGCATGGTTGGTCTTACGGTTGATGGACAAAATCCTGCATGACCCTATATACCTAAACTATGGGATTTATGGTACTATACTATATTTGGGTCATGCAGAATTTTGTCCATCAACAGTATCATGCCTTTGCACCCAGCATACTTCCAAGAGCTACCCGCAGTTTGTATCCATGCGAAATGGAGGCGCACATCCTTCAAGCAGTTCATGAGTGACCTCGTAGTGTTCCTAACGGAAAACACTCCGCAACATCCATGAAAAGCAGTACGATTACCTTCGCTCTCAAAGTTTAGGGAACATTTCCCATGGTTCAGAAAGCTTATAATATAAATTCAAAACAACTCATCTTATCATGTTGCCAGCCGGCAATATCATTCCCTCTGCAGAGCTCAAGGTGATGCCTTCGCGGAGCAAGCTGCTGAGGGCGACGGGGAAGCAGCCGCAGGGGGCAGATGGCAAAAGTATGGCAGCTGTCAAGCAATCGGGGTAGGGCTAAGATGGGGCTCCGAAACAGACCCTCATGTGCAGAACTACCCATGCGGGATTTGGGTCCTAGCAACGATACCACTAGCCAACAGCAATGTTCCCGGTTATGAAAACGGTAAGCTTGCCATCTTCGTCATCATCATCGTCTTCTTCAGCAACGTCCAAGTCATCATCAGCATCATCATCATCATCGTCGTCTTCTCCCTCAACATCTGCATCGTCATGATCATCATCATCATCATCATCGTCATCACCACGGCCACAGCCGCCATTATCAACATCATCATCAACATCAACATCAACGACATCGTCATCGTCATCATCATCATCATCATCGTCACGATCATCGTCTAAGCGCTATCAGTCTCGGTAACTCGTCGCAACAGCAGCAGCAGCAACAGCAGGAGTCGATATGGTATAGCTATGGTTTCACAGCAGCCTGCAGACTCAGAATGGGGCCTGTGTGCTGCAGGCCACGCTTGGTGAGGTCAACATGGCTCCGTCCTTTTTGTTCGTGCGAGACATGAACACGCAGTGTTCTTCAGGTTCGTCTTGTATCTGGGAGGAAACAATCGGGGCTGCAGCCGAGGTTCAGCCTTCTTCTCGTGATGATGTTAACTATGCAAACTTGATGTTTCCTACTTCGTATTGCCACTGACTGCTTGTTTTTGTTTGGATTCATCACCGTGGTTGTTTCAGCACTTCCGCTGCCATCGTTGCTCTTTCTGTCCATCATTCCAGCAATGCTTATGATGCTCACCGCTCTGCTACCAACAGAATAATCACCAGTCGATGTAATGGCGGCTTCACAGCTCCGGCAGTCGTCTCCAGCCCTCCAGCAAGAGCGCTTGCAGCAAGCGTTCGTCCATAGATAGTTGCTTCTATGTTGGTCTGTGTGTGATGTCATCACCACTGCACATTTCAGGACCAGCTGCAGATGAGGGAATGTAAATCCCAGGGCCCTGAAACATCTGAGGGAAAAAACGAAGCATCTGCAGGTAAGATAGCTCTCGTCATCAGTCCAGCCTGGCTTTTGGCCACTCAGCTGATTCTTAGTTCTGGAATGCGTTGTTGAACCTTGGATTGCTGTTGGGGCAACAATCAAACACCACAGTAATGTTATAATACTAAGGAGGAGAAGAAGAATTCAGCAAAAAGTCTGCACATTTCTTGCTGTGGGTTGCGCCTGCTCGCTGCACAGGCGAAGCTATTGGTGGTAGTCGCACTCGTGAGATCTAGTAAGGTACTAGTACTATACTAGTATTAATCGAGTATTCGTATAACTATTAGTCGTGGTATTCATCGTATCATGTATTAAGCATTAGTATTTATGTGGTATATTTCAATCAAGCAGCAGCAGTGGCAGGTTCAAGCCTTCCACCAGGAACATAGCAGTTGCAACAGTAGCTTACCAAGAGGGTCCATATACACTACTACCATGGAATTAGGACCCCAAAACCATAATAGGAATGGTCTTTTAAGGCCTAATTCCATATTGGTAGTATATATGGACCCTCTGGGTTAGTACAGTAGTAACGGCAGCAGCGGCTATTGATGGCATGGGAGAAAATCAGGGCAGCTGCGAAAAGAAGAACAGAAGGAGTCTTGATTTGAGTAGTATCACTGTAGCAGTAGCATGTGGCAGCGGTCGCAACAGTGGAAGAATAGACTGGTCAAGAGAAAGCTAGTGAGCATAGAAAGAACAATACACACAATATGAATAGCCGTGGTACTTCGAGTATTCATCGCTCTGCACAACTATATGCCTGGCGCGACTAGCAGAAGCAGTGCGGATAAAGATACGGATGACCCAATGACACTAAACCCTATAAACTCAAAACCTTCTTCCTTCATCACTGGCACTATCGCAGCCCCTTATCGGAAGCCACAGCCCCAACGAGTTCTGTAGGGGCCTTAATAATTAGACGAGGGTTTAGAGTTTAGATTCTACTTTAACTATGTAGGAACTACTACAGGGTGAGTTTATTACCAGTCTTCCAACCCTGATATCATCAATATGGGTAGTTCTTCTAAAGTGGGGTCCCTTAAAGGGTCCTCTTCATAAGGGTGCCGTACTAGTTTGGGGACCTAAGGGACCCTAATATTTGAGAACTACAGTATACTCCGCTTATAGAAACTCATATAGAAAACCTTATAGATCCCTTTAAAGAGCCCTAAAACGGGGGCCCTACCTTAGAGAACTACCCATATTGCGGTGCCGTGAGGCGAACTACCTCTTCAACTTGTCCCTGGACTCCACTTCGGTGGTGACTCGACCTTGAAATCTCGCCCAAACCATCTTCAGCTCTAGGGTTCATGGGGTTTAGGGGTTTA